TTCGAAAATTAATTTGTTTTATTATAATTTTACAGTGCTGAGCATAATCTTGTATCTATTTACAATTTAAAAACTCCTTGAAAAAGTTTTTTGCAATTAACGGACCCTATTTGCACAAATTCATAAAAGCATAACCCTGGTTGAAAGAATGTGAGTAATCTTTTCACGAAAAACGGACCTTTCACAAAATGTCTGGACAGACCCCTGATATATATATATATATATATATATTTGCAAGTAAAAAGATATTAGTGTATTTAGTAATCATTACTTAACTCCTCTGCTACCTTGTCAGATAAAATTAGTAAATCATAAAAGCCTTCTCTTTTTACATGCATGTGTAATATTTGAGTGGGTTCCCTATTTATATAGGATATATATTATATACAGAGACTGACTGTTATAGATTCTCCAAAGTTTCAAAAAATATTTTTCTTAGTGGTAGTGCAGGTCAAACATTTATATAGCAGTAAATTATAACTAAAGGAATTTGTATCACCATTAAACATAAGTAATCAGCGTGCGTAGCATTTTTAAAAAGTAGTTAAAGGTGCTTATTTCAATTTTCGTTTTTTTAAAAGCCCTTTAAAGTGCTTTTTTCATTGGGTGTTTTTAAAAAGTGCTTAATTTTCCCTTACTCAAAATGAGATTTTTCCTTACTATGTTGATTTTTACTTCGAATTATGCAAAAAGACACAGTTCACATTGTTCTATTCAACGTTTTCATAAAAGTGCTTAAAAAAACTTTTTGAGTGCTTGAAAAGTGCTTATTTTTTGTTGAATAATTTGGCTACGCACCCTGGTAATCTAAACAGTATATAAGGTCATAAATACAAATGCTTTAGTTTTATTATTTTTGTTTTTAAATACCTGTTTAAAAAAATTCTCCTCTAGTTCACTATCTGCAAAAAAAGTAATTTGTATCAGCCTCAAATTGTTGGAGTCTTTGTATAATGTATGATGAATACAAATGGCAAGAATCTGAAATTAAATTTATAAATAAAGAAAATGAATGAAAAAACGAATAGCGGAGAATAACTATGGAAGATAAGGATATAACAAATTAATATTAGTAGGAAAATATGGAAAGCATCACTCTACTTATTTTCCAAAAATTAGTTTTCAATTGATGGAAAAAAATTTTTTCAAAGAATTGAAACTACCTTTTTTGAAGATAATAGAATAAAGCACTACTTTATAACATAAAATATTCTTATATCCAGAAATTTAAATCTTTTTAAAATGGCCCTTAACAGTTAATTTCACTGATTTTGAAATTTTATGAGATTCCATTTATGAAAGGCAAACTAACGTTGGAACTCAGTTGTGTTAAACCTCTTTTTACACTGTTCGCTTTGATACAAAACTTATCATTTTGTAAGTTCATTTAAATTGTCTATTGATCTCACCTTTACAGTGTGAAGACTTCGTGTTCCCATATGAAAATGCTCTGCAGTACAATATTAATTATGAAAAAAAAAATAATAATTTTGTTAGAAATTCAGACTTGTTAGTTTTTAAAACTGTGCCAATTGTTATTTGCCAAGTATATTCATAGCTTTGGAGTAACATCATTCTTCTTTTATAGTAACTTTTTTTCTTTCAGCCGCAAAAAGGAAAACAAGGTACAAAAGGCCAGAAACAAATTGTGGAGGAAAATAAAGAAACCTTAAAATTTTACACAATTATGGCAGTAGGTGCTGAGGTAAGAAGAAAATTAAGTAAATTCAGAAAATTTTGGTTTAGGTATTTTATTGGTTCTTTAAACATTTGACTCCTCTTCGTATAGCTTTTCTTATTACTTATTTTTATGGCAAAATCCTTTTATTCTTCACTATACTTCCATTTAAGATCCTAAAACAGCTGTCAAAATTAATTTTAGTAGCCAGTGGACAATTTTATTTCAGTAAAAAAGCATTCAATACTAATAGATTGATTGTGAAATTACTGCTAATTAAAAATTTTAATGAACCTGATATAATAATTTGAAATAGTCTCAGTTATATATTTTTATTGTTGGTTATTAATTTTCAAGTTTTGTAAATTAATAATATTTACCACAGTTGAAAATTAAACATATGTATAAAAATGAAATTGAGAAGTCTGGAGATAAGATTCAAACATTCTTCATATAGCAAAATAAATAAATGGAAATAATTTCAATAGTTATGCAATTATCAAAAACGGATTTAAAAGAAATATATATTCAATCTTTCTCTCTTTTTAAGCAAAATATTTTTGATAGTATTAAAAAAGAAGTAAAATAATGTTTTTATAGAAATTATTTAATAATCATGTAAAACTTTTAGCGATGCTTAAAAGAAAATATTAATATGCATAATTTTTTAATGACTGTTACAGATTTTTTTAGCTTATTTAATTTTGTTGGAAACATGCAGTTTTTTTTTATGCAAGATCATAATTAAAATAATAAAATAAAACATTTTTTTAAAATTATTTTCTGCAATTATTTGAAGATTAATTAAAATAGTTCAATAACTGTAATTAATATTTCATTAATCAAAAGGTAATATTATTTTATTATCTAGATCGTTGAATAGAAATTTTGAAATTTGTTATAAAAAAATTTTTCTTTAATAATTTTTTCTATATATATAAAAGAGATTTCCTAAACGAAGGGTATATTGAGGTCTGAACATCCTAGTATGTTCTATTACTATTTTAGAATATCTTTCCAGAACTTCATCATAATATTACTTCCTTTTATTTTCTAAATTTAGACTTTTTCCATAAAATTAAATTCTTGCATTCATAGTAATGTATATTTTTATTTTAAGTTGGAATTAACTGATGTAAATGAATCTGTAGTCATTTGAAATGCTTTAATTTATAATGATGATTTATAAGAATATTTGTCCGAAAATAATATGCTTAAATAAAAGAAATGGATAGTTAAATTATTGTTGGGCTTTAACTATATAAAATAACTATCTTAAAAACGAATAACTATGGAAAATAATTTAAAAACTGCTAAAAATATTGTAAGCTATGTATAATTTTCTGTGAGCATTGCTATTCTAAAATTCGCTCTGATCCTTGGAATTATTGTGTCCCTTAACTTCACAGCATGGATTATTAACTAATTTTGTTATTTGATAAGTTGATATTATGTTTAAAATCGTTTTCATAGAAAGATTTTATGGACTGGTATTATAGATTTTACCTCTAGTTACAAACAATGTAATTACGAAGCTATTCCTTTATTATTAAAGAGGAGTCTTTGGTTTTTTAATTTTTTACAAAAAATTAATTCAATTCTACTTTTTTTTATTTCTATTTATTAAGCTGAAGTTTTTCTAGTCAATTTACTGAAAATTTAAAATCATTAATATGACTAATTGCAAATAATAGGTTTTGTTAATAAACATTGATTTGCTGATCAATGTTGCAAAGTTTATTTGCAAGATTTTCATTGCCTGATTAGTAGGCTGGGTTGTAAAAAAAGGGTAGAGGTGGTTCTTGTGTAATTATATAAAGTGAAACAATTCATTCTAAGATAAAATAAAAATCATTCTGAAAAGAGCATGGATAATTTTGACAGTTTGAAAACTGCTTTGCATTTCCTATAATTGCAAGTTTTCAAACATTTTCTATCTTTAACTCTGGAGCTCCAATACACAACCTAATGCTGAGTTCAATAACCAATCTATCAGGAAACTATTTCCTATAACATGGATTAAAGAAATCAAAAAATTGGGCATGTTTTTTTCATGCGCTAGACTATTATTGGTAATAAATAAATGTTATATAATAAATGTTGGAAGTAAATAAGTAAAATTATACTACAAAATAAATTGTTTTTTTGCTATTGCATTTATATTTAATCATGTACTCGTGTACATTTAATCATAATACTTAATAAATTGAAAGAAGTTCGGTTCATTCCTCTAAAAAGTTTATGATACAAGTTCTGTATGGAAGGTATTTATGTTAAAAATTATTGGTTTAAATTCTTACTTATATGTTTGGTTTCATGTTTATTGTTTTCTTTCTAGCTTCTTTACATTATACCAATGGTGACTGTATTTTGGGAATCCTATTCTCTATTTTTAATTGTAAGTCATAACCTACCTATTTTGTTCTAGTACATTATTTTGTTATTAGTGTCTAGCGTGCTACTTAAATGTATGAAGCAATTGTTTTCCATACTATCAATATGTAAATTATTTACAATTTTTTCTATGATTTTTCTTAAACAATATCTGTTAAATAATTCGTTAGGGGAAAGAATACTTGAAATTTGAAGAAAAAACAAATATTTGTTATTTGATTACCAATGTTTTTAATGGAATGTATTTATTAATATTTTATTTTATTTTACAAAATGTGCGTTGTCTTGGATAAATATAACTTTTTCATAGACCATAAAATAAATTAGCTGTTAGAGAATTCCAATATATTTTACTCTCCAATATATTTCTAATAATCTTACTCTTGTTTCCTCTTTCTCTTATTTTTGTATCAAAGTACTACCTTATCATGATCACTTTTCTAATTTAAAAAATTTAGTCTTTTCTTCATAATTGTGCCATTTTTATTATCAGATTTGCCAGAAGGCTTTGACTTGAGATAGACAAAAAATTTATAACTTATGTACTAGCAACAATCATAAAGACAGCATGTTATTCATTAAAAAGCATTATTTCATTTCACTTGAAAATTAAAAGCATTAACAAATACCTTTATTAAATTAGTTAATTTAATGTAAAATTTCTGCAGATTAAAAACTTATTTATTTATGATCAAAAATAAAAAGTAATAAGTAAGTTATTTGTGTAAATAAAAGGTTTGTCTAATATTTAAAAATCCACATTAAAATTACAGATTTTGACATCTCTAACAATTCTTTTATATTCTGGAAGTCTTGAATTTATGCGAGGAATGGCTAGAGCTACGTATTCTGAGACTGGGCAGCTCCTTGATGGAGGTATTGATCTCAATATGGAAGCTGGATTTGCAGAGTAAGTATCTTTTCTAACTAAGTACATCTGGTTTATTTCAATGTCTGCAGATGAATGATTACAGATGATACCTTTGGCACTTAACAGCTAACAGCTGATTTTATCAGATATAAACTTTAAAATGAATATATGTGCATGTCTGAAAATATTCAATTAGCTTTCAATTACTCTTTTCCTAATTAACTTGATTCCTTATTGCCTCAATCCCTATCAAACAACTAGATATGTAATCCTTTTCAAAAATATTTAAGTTTTGAAACCTCTCTATAATATTGCTGGGGAGGGGGCTCATTGAGCTGTCCTTTGGAATTTGTCTCAAAGTTATTTTTAACCAAGCATTGAGCCCCGGGGTAAAGTTGTAGCGAAATTTCACCCATTGGATAATGTTGGGGAAACTGGTTTTTAAATGCAGGAAAGCTTGCAGCTTTGAATTCGAAAAAGCTGTGATTAACGCTTAGAGAGTTAAAGATCAATATTAATTGATTTCTGGCTCAGCGCTGTAAATTATTTCACTCTTTTATCCCCCCAAAAAAGAAGAAAAAAATCATTACAATTTTATCACTCCTTTGCCCAACATACTTGCATGAAAAATTATTTTCTACACATTTATATACTTATTTAAAAACAAACAGAGAAAGTGAGGAACCCGATCTAAGACTGAAACTTTCAGACATTGAGTTTATTTGAATTTCTTTCATTAGACAAGCACAAATATCTTATTAAGAGTTCTTTTTTCAAATTTAACCTATACTTAGTTACCAGTTAGTTATACTTATTGTTATAAATTGTTATTTTTGCTGCTTAGTTATATTTGTTGCTAATATTTACAGTTCATAAAGGTCTGTGCTTAGATTTTTTACTCTTATGTTTTCACTTCCTGATGTGCTTTCATGACTGTACTACATGGAAAACAAATGTTTTACTTCTTCGTGTGGTTAATATGATAACGACTGCACAAGGTTTTCACTGATTTCCTTTGAATTTTAGAAAAGGTTCACAAGGGTAAAAATGTAGGGAGCTGAGTAAATTGTTACATTTTTAGTAAAAACTAGTTCTGTAATGCCAAAAAATGTAACTAGGTAATTGATATTTGTCAGTATTGAAAGGGTATGCATGCTGAGTTTATTTTAAAATTGCAAATTTAAACGAAAATTAATTTAATTCTAAGTTATCTTTTTTTCTAACAACGATTTTTTTGTTTCTTTTATTTTGGCTACCTTTTTCATAATTTGCAACTCTTCTGTATATTGTAGAAGCATTCTAAATTTATTCCCTCCACTGTGATTCAAATTTTCTGCATTTAAAAAATATACATTAAGATTTTATACCTTTTTTCAAGTACTTTGATTTGAATTTTACTTGCTTTTAAGAGATGTCCATAATATTATTAAATCTCTCTATGGATTAAGTTTTAGTAATAATTTAAAATCTGTCTGGAGGTAATTTAATCACACAAACCACAGTAAGAATGAGTTTGGGACATTTCCGAATAGTCGGCAGGTATTTCCATCGCTGTCGCAAGATGCGATAGAAAACTCATCCCAGTGCTCCATTTGCATTCTCCTCACACATATATCAAACCGCAACTTGACACTCATATAATATGCATATGCTTCTGCTCCAAAAAAAGGAAGTTCCATCACCAATAATTGGTATGACATTATGTGGCGCCATCACACCTTTTATATTTTAAACTTCTGCAGCTACATCAGAAAGGATTAAAAATAAATCTAATTAAATCATCACTTCCAAACTAAATGTTTTTCTATAAAAATAGAAAATTATTCTAATTCAATACTTGATATATAACTATTCAATGTTACTTAAGACAAGCAAACAAACAAAAAAATCTAAATAAATACTTAACCTATAAACCTATATATAGTTTTTTAACACTACTTATATAATTACTTAAGACAACCTTACAAAATGCATAATAACTATAGTGTTGCCAATAGATAGAGAAATATTAGAGTTTAAGGTGCCACATAAGAAAACAAAGTATATATATATAGAGAGAGAGAGATAATGCTGCATTATAAACATGCTGATTTGCTTTAATCAGCATTTGAATGACATTTTTTTTATATATTTTTATTTATTAAATCATTTGTACTAAACATGTCTTTGATTTAATAATTTATATATTCTTATGCATGCGGCCAGTTTGACATTTTTAGTCCTTATCACCATTCCATTATTTTCAAATATTTTTTATGGAGAAATATATTACCTCACGCTTTTCATTCTCTCCTTAAAATTTGTATTATATTAATTAAAAATAATAAAAGTTCATTTTATAAAGTAATTTGACACTGTAATATATTGTATACTGTTGAACTACAACAATAAATAATGCTGAAGTATGGCATTTTCATATTATAGTGGGCTAAAAGGCAACTCAGACTTTTTTTATCTAGATATTAAGTCTTTATTCACATTCTAAGTGGAATTGTAAAGTAATATATATGCATTATAGTAAGATATTTATTGAATGAAACTGGATAATTTTTAAATGTTAGCCTAAAATATTAATTATTTGTTGAGTTTTGATGAAAAGTTTTTGATGCTTTAATTAATTTTAACTGTGACAACACTAAATAGTATTTTTTAATTAAAACATTTTTGTTTTGTTTAAACCTAAAAAAGACCATTTGAACTAAAAGCCCTAATTTTTTTTACTTTTGAAGGAAAAGAAAAACAGTTTTTTTTTCTAACTCCATGCTGCATTCACCAATTTGTATGTATTAACACTACATCAGAAAATTATACCTCAATTTAATAATTTTGTGTGTTCTGAAAAAGAGTTAATTTCACAATGAGAAGGTGAATATTAATGCCTCAATTCACATTTATTATTATTGTAGGCTGTTCATCAAGGGTAATAATATAAAGTTTAAAGAGTAATATTTGCTTTGAGGAAATTTCATATTTTTTAACAAGAAATAAAAATGGTTGTAAATCAGTTATAAACTGTAAAGGATATGTGTGTGGAGCGAACAAGAAGTATGGTTTTCAAAATTCAACATATAAGTTTTTTTTGTATGAACCCCACTGTTGCAACGAATAATCCACAATGATAATTGAATTATAAATTATGATTAGCTTAATAAATAGCGTTGACAGTTTGAAAGTGCCAGATATTTTAATTATCTAGCATCATATTTAAAATGAAATAATCTTTGCATCTAAGCATTTTTCCATCTCAACGAATAACAAGAAAAAGAGCAAAATAATCGTGACAGTAAAAGTTTCTTTTTTTTCTTCTTCTTTTTTTTTTTTTTTAATGGAAAATTTTTATTCCTAATGATGTATTTCATTATAAATTTATTAGATTTTATAAAACTAGTGGTCAAAACTGTAAATGGTTATTTAACTTGCCAAAACAAACAACTTTAATTGTACAATGTTGGGTTAAAAAGCCAAATGTGAACCAGGAAAAGACATCTGCTCCGTGAAGATAGAGAATACAGTAAAGACATAATGGAAAACTACGAATTTTTATTATTAAACGCTTAAAAACAGATCCTCAAATCTTCACATCAATGATGGAATGAATCACACACTTGGCATTTGTCTGCAACTGTTACATTAATTCAATCAGTTAGTGCCCACGGTAAAGTCGCATATGATGAAATCTTACCGTTCTTTGAATTTCCAGTCTCATGCATTAGTGTTTATCAACTTTTTCTGTGTTAGAATCTTATCTGCAAAATACAACGTTTCAAATACTCCAGAGAATTTACCCTCTCGTGTCTCGCTCTTTGCCTTCGTATTTTAAGAGTAGTTTCTTTTGGTAAATTACATCATTACTTACAGCTTTGATCATTCTGATCAACACCCTCTATATTTTTATTCACATTCATATTTTAAATATATTTCTTTAACAATTGGTTGATGTGTAATATTTTAATATTTTTTTTTCCAGACATTTGAAAGATTTAATAATATTAACTGCAGCAGTTCAAGTTCTGTCCCTGATATCGACCTACTTTTGGTTGCTATGGCTAGTGGTAAGTGACTATATTTTTGTCTTTCATCTGACCTTTTTTAATAAATAAAAAAAAGAACTGTTTTCAATAAATGCTTTATTTCTTCAAATATCTTTTTTTTTATCAAAAACTTTGCTAATTTTTAAGTCATGTAATTCTCAAGCAGTGTGAATTGTCCTAATATTGCTTATTATTTGTTGTTAAAAAAATCATTGATTTAAAAAAGGAGCCTACAGTTTGTTGAGTGCTGCTTATAAAACTTGGTTTTATTCTCACTAAATTTTAAAAATAATAACTAAGTTTTTTTTTAACACTGTTAATGGAAAAATTTTTTGAAACCTCTTCAAAATTACCTCCATTTGCAGAAGTAATGTGGCAGTCATATGACTCCTATGTAACAGGGGTCTGTGCAAATAGAATATAGAGTGGTATAGATTGCAGCAGGAAATATTGTTTTATAGTTTTTACAATCAATTGTGCTAACTGTTTAGAAATATACTTAGAACTAGGTGAAGTTAAAGTTAGTTTGCGCTTGCAAAAAGAGCACTTGCTTTTTTAAAGGATGTGTAATATCAAATATTCCCATGGTTTATATTGTATCACTTAACCTCATGGTTCATATTTATCCATTATGTAATATTGAATAATCAATTTTACTAAACATTTTAATTAAAAGAACTGCAAAAATTCACTTCATTCGATCCATTATTGTTTCATAAGAAAGCATCATAAAGAGTCTATTTAATTGATTAAAGATGTATAGATTTTATTACGAACTGTGGAATTAATTTGCATTAGCAAGAGTGAAAATTCAAAGCATTAAATGAGATAAATTTCTACTTATGCCAAATCCTGGTAATTAAGCAAAACATTTTTAATTCAATATACAACAGTACATACAATATACAACAGTGCAATATGTAGTTACAATATTTTTAATGACTATTGAATTTTATATTTCAGGCTCCTGGTAGAGCTTTTTATCTTCTATGGGTTAATATTCTCTCACCATGGTTCTTTAGCCCAGCTCCAGAAGTGGATGAAAAGAAACAAAAGAAATTAGAAAGAAAGGCTAAGCGGCGTTAAACACACTTACTCCAATCAATATTAATTTATTTTTCCAATTTTGTTATTACTGTGTTTTCTTATGGATTTCTATTTTTGTTTAATCTCTTTTCTAATTATGATTGTTATAAAATTACATTTTGATTATTATTTAATATTTTACGAAAGTGCCTCTTTGATACTTATTTGATTTGTGTATTTGCATGTTTTATAATTCAGAATTAATATATGTATTTGTATCATTCAACTTGAATTATTTATGATGCATTGAATATGCATGATTATCTAAAGTATATAATCCATACATAAATCTAACATGACATAATAATGTATCATTAAAAATAGCATTTTTTTTAACTTCATGATAACTTTGATACAGTATCTCATTAAACATTTCATTTTTATTATAAATATTATTTAAATATAAATATCTGTAAAAAACAATAAACTATTTATTGACCTGTAGAATTTTTTTTCTCCTTTCATTTACTTGCATAATGTTACAGCGTTAGTTCAAAAAGAAAAAATAAATGCTAACTGCTACTCTTTTTCTCATTCATCAACCAAAGCGACACTTAGTCTTAAAAATAAATTAGTAAGAAAAGATAAACCTGCAACAAAATTTTTATTATAAAATATTAGTTACAGCAAATGTTCTTGTTGTCTTGTAAATTTTATTTGTTTTAGTTTCATAAGATCTTTCCATTAAAATTTATCTAAGGTATTGAATATAAATGAAAATTAACTTTTTATTTAATTTCCTATAATGAAAGTAACAATATTGCCATTTATGTATTTCATTACACATTTAATTATTCCAGTTATAAAGCAAATTAAAAACTATGTAATATTTTCTAAAACAGTTAAATTTTCTTCTGTTGAGTTATTTATAAATCAATCAAATTTTTTAACTATGCATCAATTGAAGTTATTATGTCGAAATCAGACCAATGTTATTTGTTACCAAATGTTAGACTTTGGTAGATGTGTCAAAAGCTAATAACACATTTTTTTTGTAGTAATTAAAAATGTTAAGTTTATTTGGTAATTACGAATCAGATTTAACAAATTGTCCTTGACTATCTGATTTTCCTAAATACTTTGAATAATCTTGATACCTGAAGTGATGCATATTTTTTATATAATATTATTATTTTATTACTACCTTCACTTTAGTAATTATCATACTATTTTAAACATTTTCCACAAACTAATTGAGGTATAAATTTGAATCATCATTCTTTTCCGGATAAAATATTATATTTAAAAAGAAAAGCATAAAGGTAACTTATAACTGGGCAATTTCATAAAAAACATTTAATGGGTACAGAATGTAATGTGAAAATTTTTTAATGAAATAAAATTTTTTAAGTAAAATAACCTACTTTACCTTATTGATTTTATTTAGAGTTTTGATAAAATAAAAAACAATAGTGATCTTGCTAAAAAAAAAAAAAATTTATTGAGAAAAAAACATTATCGCTTTTCCCAATCATTTGGAACTATGTCTATTCTTTTTGAAACAACAAAAGAAAAAACATTAAAGTTAAGAAAAAAACCAAATGGACAAACTTACACACAAGTCCCCAAACTAATTGTAATTTTATATATTAACAATTTTAAAGTAATGGAAGTTTTAAAAAAATGCATCTTTTTAGAAGGAAAAATGAGAGAGCGTTTAGATGCAATTCGGTCAAACTGCTATTAATCCTTGCTCAAAGTAAGTATATTTATATATTATTATAGGGAAAATAACTGGTTTCTATTTTTTATTAACAAAAATCGAAAAACATAATTTAAAACATCCTGCTCCCATGCTCCATCATCACACTGTCTATCCAAAATTATCCTAATATCCAGTGCTACAGACTGATAATCCTGTACTCTGATGTTGATCTCCCTTTTGTTTCAATGATAGCCTGCACACATCTTTCCACTAGTTTTGATATATGACCATAAGTACCCATCGCAGCTGAAGTGGGTGCTATCAGCGATGATGGATGATTTGGCTGGTTACATAATCAGCATTCTTATTTATCCCAAAGGTTTTTGATAAAATACTAAAGTTTCAGCAAATTTGGCCAATATTCTAATTCAATGGGAATGAGAATTTTTAGTGGTATGAAATATACTAATTAATTAATGCAGACTTTCAAATTATACAAACAGTCTCAATATAGTTCTTGCTTGAATAAATTATTCTCTAATATATTGTTAATTTTGGCCATATATCCACAACTAAATATATTGAATTCTAAATTTGTAGTTTAGAAAATAAATGGATGTTTATTTTATAAAAGCTTGCGCATTTTTTAAGTATGTAAAAAAAAAATGTGTGCAAGAGCGCCGAGAAATCATTCAGAAAGGTGGGTCAATAAAATGTCAAAATCTGTTCGATTGCCGAAGGTATATCTTAAACGTCACTTCCTCTTTCGTTTCTGATGCGGACTGGTTAACAACATAAGGCAAGAGTTGTTTTTTATTATTATTTTTTTTTAAAAAATATTAACGATCACTTTAAATTTTTGGAAACCATTGTAAACAAACCATTAAATTAAAAACAATTAAATTTGTATGGTTCATATATGCTATTTTGGATTGAGAGAAGAGTTCAAATCAAAATACTTCAGTAGAAAAACAAAATTACAATTATATTTCAAACAGGGCACCTGAATAGGAGGTCGCTGTAACCTAACAAAGCTTTTCACTATTCCGCAAATTTTGCTTGTCTATTCATTTTTTCTCATCTCTTTTTTTTCTTCCGGAAAACATTAATGGAAATATTGACAGTAACACCTTCATTTAACCTTTATAAAAGTATGCAAAAATCTCGTTTCGGGTATCCATTTCTCAATTCTTATCATCTCCTTCCCTTCTTGCTGGTGAAAAGTCCATTTGTCAATCAATCGTCATGGAGCAGCTCCAATTTCCGAATACAAACGAACAGTTTCTTCATAAATTAAGAAAGCCCCCTCGCCCTTTTCTCAAAAAGTGTAACAGAGAATAGGTTAATATATTTTGGTTAGTAATATAGGCGAACGGTGTTCGTAGTTGAAAAGCAACAGCTGTTCAACGTCGGTTATAAAAAAAAAGTTATAAAATATGGAAGGACAGCGAGCCTTGGTGGCGCAGGGGATAGAGCTTTCGCCTCCCAGTGAGGTGAACCGGGTTCGAATCCCGGCGATGACTGGTTGATTCGAATTCCGCACCCAGCTCTCACCAACCACAGTGCTGACGGAAAATATCCTCAGGGGTTAGAGTCCCCTTGACGTCAAGTTAATCATGGGAGGTATTCGTGGTTTTCCTCTCCATGTAACGCAAAAGTGGGCCACTACTTGATCCAGGAGTTCCCTTGTCTTCTAGATTGGGTTTAAATTTACGAGGTTGCGGAGTTGAACATTAGTAGTCGTAAAAGCGAAAAAAATTGGTTGGCTATTCAGCTACGGCTATAGACATAGATTGAATACAAATTTAAATGTTTTACTTAAGAAATAACTAACTTTTGAACATCTTTCTATATTAAAAAAAAGTTATTGCCGTCGTTACCGTTTTATCAGAAAATTATCACCGAACGCCTTTCTCATTGTTAAAATTTAAAATCTATTATATAAAACAATGAGTTTTGCACATTTCTGGTGAAATAGTCAGATATTTAAATATTATTGACGCAATAATTACTTATTGAGCTAATTTGCTTCGAAGATGAAGATTTCTTTTTTGAGCCGCGTAATCCAGTTAAGTAAAAACTACTTGCTCGGGAATCTTCATTTTTCTTTCTTTTCAGATTTGTGTCTGTAAATATGTCTCACTTCATTTAGATTTTGAGCTAGTTTTGAAGTAATCGGAGTAACAAGTTTTCGGATCTTTAGAAAAACTGATCGCAGTAAAGCTATAATCTTTTGCAACCCCGCACCCTTCCTTGTAACTGAAGATAATAAAAAAAATTTAAACTTTTTTAAATTAGTTACAAAGTTATTAATTTTGATTATTTTCTGATTATTTATGTATAACTTAAAAGATTAATGAAAAACGTGCATTTTTTCTGTCTTTTGTGCAGAACAAAAGCCAAATATTCTCCTTTCATTAAAAAGAAAAAACGGGAATATTGTAATTATGGGACTCTATGTTAAAATTTATGTAAACTAATACACCCAGAGTTCTGTAATTTATTTCTTGCTTTCAACTCCCTCTCCTCCCTTCCTTAATTTGAAAATTTAAGCGTATTTATTACCGGTAAAAAAATAAAAGTCAGTTTAACTTTCAAAATTTTTCAATTTTAATTTCCGTTTTGGCTTTTATTTATTAAATTTTTTAATCGTTAAGGCTCCACTATTTCGTGATAACGGATCGGCAATTCGCACAGGCCGCCTTTACATCCTTTTATTTCAAGCTGGTACCCATCAATCTGACGCTGGGTTCACTTTCAGCCGCTACTGCGGATGAAACCCTTACTTCTCCATAATGACAATTCAGAGCCTTAACCACTGCACCATCGCATCTCGTTAACTAGAACAATTAAGTTTAAAATAGATAAATCAGTAATATATAGGTGGAAGATATAAGTTGTGAAAATATTAACAGCAAAATAGTTTTTATTATTATTATTAAAGGAAGTAAATAACATGCTTATGATTCATATAAATTAAGAGTTTTATGCGGCAAAAAGGGAGATTTCCGCTTTTCAATATAAGTTCGCGACGCCCGATTCCGTAATAGACCTTAGTAAGACCAATAAGGCTATATGAAAGCGACTGTTGGACAATGAATAAATCGGGAGTCAATCGATTACCTATTTGCGAACGAAAGATGTTGTAAAGAATTTCTATGCGGTTATGGAAAACTATGATTGGAATGATAGTACAACTTTTGAGTTATGCAACAAATTTAGAGATTCAAATACGTTTAAGATATCCAACAGGTAACATGACTTGATCATATCTATAAATATGACAGCAAGTTCGATTCTTCATTACTGAAGTAGTGAAACAGAGGTAGGCCCCCAAAGAAGTTTTCGCTCCGGGCCCAATTACGCTAAGTCGGGCCCTGCCAGCAACCGGCTGTAGTTCTGATTGAAGAAGATGAAATTAAACCTGTATTAAGTTTTTTGTCTTTTTCTTAAAACATCTAAATAGTTCCTCTTTTTTTAATTTTTTTTACTGTTATTGGAAAATAAATGGAAGGAGATGATTTCTGCTTAGAAACGTAGATAGACTGTCACAGTTACGTCTCAATAAAGTCAGAAACAATCACAGTTACATGTGTGACCGTTTTATATTGTCCCAAAGAGGTCTTAATGTGACTTTGACGTTACTTTATTTTGTGATATCACCTAAAAGTATCAGTGATTATTTATTATGGATTCTGACACTTGGTAGTCACAACTATGCATGCATTACTGGGGCTAAAGTCACTGAGAAACGTAGTTGCAACTTTGTTCCCTTTTAAGTCACAGGGGAACCATGTCACAG